AATGCCGGAGAGCAACACAAGGCATGTTGGATCCCACCTCAGGAAGATAAAGGGACTAGTTAACCGTGTGCCTGACATGTCCTGGGGACTCTGCTCTGGAGCCTTAAGCAACTCTTAATTAAAAGAACCGAGAGGCAGTGGCAGTGAGGAGACCACATGGTGAGGAGTGTTGGTTCTTTTTAGTTAATAATGCAGGTTAGTCTCTGAAACAACTTTACTGGTGCAGCATTATGATAGTCTTTGATATCAAATGGATTAAACTTTTAGGGTTCGTTTGTTATAAAATGCAAATCTTAATAGAAAAGAGCTCTATTTAAATATTGTTGCTAATTTATAAATAATGATGTCTGTAATTGGGAACTTCCTAGATTGAATTTTCCTTTTTGTGCTGAGTTACAGTTGCAAAGAATTCAGGCAGAGAAGAGGGGAAACTGCCCAGTTAAACGTGCTCCTGCTCCTTGACTTGTGCTGAGGGTGGATTTTTTATCCCAGTTGCCCCCTGCTSTGGGTGTCCCTGCTGGAGCAGGGGGCTGGACTGGGTGATCTCAAGGGGTCCCTTCCAACCTCAGCCATTCTGGGATTCTGGGCAGGGAAGGGGGGATCTACGAGTTATAAGCTGAAACTTTCAGCTTTGCGTGAGGAAAGGGAAGAATTTTGGCTACCAGTAAGTTAMGAGCCCATCTTGGATCCTTCTCTGGAAGTGTCTAGAAGACCAGTCCAGTCCCGAGTGAAAGTTGTTGGGCCTCGGATCGTGGTTGGAGGCGTTGCTGAGCCATTGACCCTATGAAATCTTTCTGTTCTGATTGACCACTTGATGTGGGTGACAGGTAATTTGGAGACAAGCAGCCTGAAATCTGCTCCTGAGTTCAGTTTGGCTCTTTAACTTCTCCTGGAAATGGGTGTTTTAGAACAAAAGAATAGTCAAATAGGATAAAACATGTTAGATGCATCTACTCCTTCCTGTGCTRTGGACTTCGCATTGATGCTGCAGTATTTACCTTCCTCCAAGTGTATCTGCTCTCTGTGCCTTATTTAACCTTTTTTTTTTAACCATCCTCCGCACCTCCTTTTTAACCTTTTTTAACCGTCCTCGGCACGGGGAGCCCTGCCCTCCTCTCTGGGGTTTGGCTTTTGTTATCTTGTTATCTGTTATCTCTGCACGCCCTGAAGCAGCCTCCTCCCCAGGGCCAGGGGCTTGCAGTGTCCTGGAGCAGCCGCCGCATCGAGGCACGGGAGGCACCGCGAGCTCCCTGCTCGCCCGTGCCCTGCGCTGGTTCCCCTGCGTCTGTGGGGCCGAAGGGTGTGGAGGACACTCGGCTGGGAGCTGCTGGGGCTCGGACACGCGTCGCTTCCCACTCCTGAAGAGCACTGACAGAAAGGAAGAGCTGCTTTTTTCTCTCCTCGTACTGCTAATAATAATGTTCYCATTTCCTGCAGTGCTACTATTTATACCCAATAACGTGTTTATAAATAGCAGTTTTCATCTGAGGATGTTAGCTGCAATTTTTTAGTAAACCTTTTGGTTAACAAGTTTGCCACATACCTCAGTACCCTTCTCTTTCGGAGGGGCAGGAGGAAGGAAAACGCAGACCTGAAGCCGGTGGCGCTGCTGTGCTTGACCTGGGGAAAGGCACCCTTCACTTTCTTCTTGTCCCGTCCCTCTCTAAAGTCCTAGATTTTTTTTTTAAGACTGTTTCATTATTGACATGAGGATATTAAGACAGAAAAGAATGAATATGACCTCAGCATCTCTCCTTCCTTCTGTCTTAGAAAGGAAGGGAAATGAATTGTGCATTTGTTTTAGTTAAACGATATTTTGTTAGCTTATGTGATGTCAGGTAGTGTTTTATTTATTCTTTTTATTTTTTTTTTTTTCTTTTTTTTCTAAATTTTATTATTAATATTTATTCTTTCCAATCAATTGTTTTCGTTTGTGCTCAGCTGCTGTTTGTCCACCTTCGCAGCAAGACTGCCACTCGAGGCCTCCGCAGGCAGCCCGTGCTCTGCAAGGCGATGGCCTTTGCCGTGGAAGTTCAGTGCGGTGGGAGGACAGGGACCAGGGGCTGGAGCGGCTCCTGTGTGAGGAAAGACTGAGCGAGCGGGGCCTGTTCAGCCTGGAGAAGAGAAGGTTGAGAGGRGATCTGCTCAATAAGTATCTGAARGGAGAATGTAGGGAGGAAGGGGCCAAGCTCTTCTCAGGGATGGCCAGTGACAGGACAAGGAGTAATGGGTACAAATTAAAACCCAGGCAGTTCCCTCTCCGTGTGAGGAAGAACTTGTTTGGTGTGAGGGTGCCCGAGCCCTGGCCCAGGCTGCCCAGGGCGGCTGCGGAGGCTCCTGCTCTGCAGATCTCCCCAACCCGCCCAATGCGCCCGGGTGGCCAGTGGCAGGGTCCCRTTTTACTGCAGAGTCCACGTATCTGTGGGGTTGATGCTCTGAAACTGTTTTCTAAAGTTTTTTGCATTTGGAATCCAAAGTGTGATGTGGGTCCGTTTCCTTGGGAGGGTGAATTAATGGTGTTGGGAACTTTGTCACCTGTCAGATGGATTTGAAGCAGTTGCAAAGGCTTTCTTAAATTCACAGTCCAGCTTTTCTCTTAATGTGCATATGGAAATGGAGGTGTATTCAAAACAAAGGTGATTTTAAGGATGCATCCAAAACAAATGTGCCACTGGGTGAAATCTTCCCTTGCTCAGGACAGAGCTCTCTATAGAATTCAATCTTAAAGTCACAGCCTTTTTCTTCCCCCTTCCCTCTACATCAAACAGCTCCAAARCAAATGCAGAACAAGCGCCAAGCCTTCAAAACATTAGGCTTGTACCTGGTTCCTGAGGGAAATATTTTAGGACTAAGTCTGGATTTTTATTCTCTCACTGTCATATTACCAAGATGAGAGTCTCTCTGTAGACCCCTGCACACAGGCTTTGTTCAAACAGTCAGTGCAAAACTGAGGGGCTGACCAGAGACCCTGTAATTCACTGAATCTCAGTCATTAAACCTGGGAGAAATCGCTCTTGGTGTGAATAATGTTGCCTTTGGAGCACAAAAAGAACAACTTGAATGACTGAAGCGTTCTGGCCTGGAGAGACTCATCCTTGGAGGAGGAATACGGTGCTATGAGCAAAAGCAGAAATTCCCGGGAAACCTCGGAATAATCAGTGCTGGTGTGAGCGAGGGGCGGCCGTGAAGCCTGAGTTGTAGGAGGGTAAAGCTGCAGAGCATTGYACCGAGAAGCTCCCCGCTCTGCTCCGCAGCTGGCACCGAGCAGCTAGATCCACCTTGGGAATCTCAGGCCATCCCTGCCTGCAGGAAAGTTGGTATTTGCAGATGCAGGATAGAAATAAAAAATACAGAAATAAAACATTGATATTGATGTGAACGTTTTTGGATACAAAATGCCTATAGGCTATTTAATCTATAGAAAGGATCTCCGGGCACGAGTTGTGACGTGTGGCTGGGCGGCCGTGCAGGGCTGGGTGCTGCTTCCTAGAGCAGCGTCTCGTGATGAGTGAATCTGAGATTTTGCTGCCTCAAAACAAGCACAAATCTCCTTTGTCTTGGGTATTCCTTTTTTTTACCAGTTCACCAGACAAGCTGTACTTGGGCAAATCAGCAGTACACGAATTGTAAGAGAAACATGTGCCAAAAGAAACAACTTTTTATCTTTGCATCTCCCTCTAGGGAGAGTGGACTTGGTCAATAACTCTTATCGTGCAGTAGCTTCTGCTTAGCAGTTAAATGTCCTTTTTACTCCCTCCTCACCCTYGCAAAGCCCTTTTCTTTGGAGAAGGGCCCACACAACAGGAGCAGCAGGCGCTTAGCGTGGCAGGTGCTGGGGAGCTTTTATTCCCTCTTGGGCCCTGGGCTTTCCGCCAGTTTGCCGGCCTGTTCCAGCCTTTCCACCACTGATACCGACGTGCCAGGTGTAGGAGCAGCCTTTGGGAACAGAGTTAACAGCATCATCGTCACCATTGTCACTCCTCTTCCTCTCATAGGGCTTCAGCAGAGCCTTACGTAGTAGTTAAGGCTCCTTCCTCATGCATATGTTTGCTCTGTCAATGCATTTTTCCACTCCTTTGGTCTTGCTGGTGCTTGGAGAATGAAACTCGTCCCTGTTTTTTGAGGTGCGAGTCGAGCTGTGTTTGCAGAGCTCGGTTCCCTGCTTGTCAACCTGCCCTTGGAGGGCTCTGTGAGTAAATGTTCAGGAAATGACTTAACTATGACAAAGCCAAGAAAACACGTGGAAAAGCACATTTCCCAGTAAAACTGTGTTGCTTGGCTGCAGAGTAGTGCGTGCTTTTCAATAACATTTGATAAAAATAAGAGGCTCTTTGAAAGTTTGTAGCTGTGAGCTTGGTGCATGCAGCAGCGGCATGTGCTGGTTCGAGCGACTGCCCTGTGCAGAGCTGTCAATGTCTGCAGGGGTCAACAAGTTCCCAACTGCTTCCAGTTAGTTTTACATGGGCTAAGCCCCCCAGGAAAGCTGCCCTAAAGCTCGACTTGAGCTTGTTTTTACAGAGTTTGGCTTCTTCCTGAGGCTTCCTGCTGCTTTCAGGTGAAACACACAGATATACCTGATGTCAGAGTGGCTGATGGTCAAAGCTGCTGGCTTAGGAAGAAGTAACAGGGGACACGTAACAGGGAATAGAGGGAAAGATTGAAATGGCCTTCAGTTTGCAGCCCGTGTATGAGAGGAAAGGGGGAAAGAGAGTTCTACCTTCCCTGGCTGAAGAGAGAGAAGACATATGTGCTTAGAAAGGGACCATCTGTCAGGCGGGAGGGGACCTGAGCAATCTGTTCCTGAAGGGATCACACATGGAGCAGCGTGAAAGGGGCCTCCCTAGTTTTATATGAACAAGTTATACTTATCCACATGCATCTGACAGGCTACTGATGAGGAAAAAAGCTATTTTGCAATGGTCAGCTCTCTGAAATCTCTGTCTGTGCATCCTCTGTACACCTGGAAGCAGATCCAAACCTTGTGTGATTCCATCCCCCAGGTATTGATTACAAGACTACAACTATCCTTCTGGATGGCCGGCGAATCAAGCTGCAGCTCTGGTAAGCGTGCTCCATCTTTCCTCCTAAATTACATCCCAGGGAYGCAGCGAATGCTCCTCTTTGGGACAGGAATCCTCCTGTGTGCTGCAGCAAGACTGAGGCAGCTGAGGGAGAGCGATCCTGCTAGCTGGTGCTCCCATTTTAAATGGAGCACCCTAGAGATTCCCTAAGTGAAATGCATAATAAATGCAGAACGAGGGCACAAAAGATTGCAGGTTACTTAGCTGCACCTTTACCGGTAACAAGGACCATGAAATTGCTAAAAACACACAGTATTTGTATAGCAACAGTTCTCAGTTTACTGGTAGTGGTGATCAGGCTGACAGAAGTGTTAGGATTTAAATTCAAAAAAAGCAATTTTGTTACTCAGTGATGGTTTAAAATAATAGATTTTAAATGATATCCAGTCCAATTTGATTTGATTCGAGCAAAAATCATGTGGAGAATGATGAAGCATTTTGCAACAAAGTGATACAGCTTGAAAGATGCAGTAATGTTGTTGTCTCTTCAGATTGGTTGGGTTTTGTCTTCCCTAAGCTCAGGGCCCAAGTGAGAGGGAGAATGAGGTTAGTGCGGGGTGGGAAGGAGAAGGGATGTGGGCTGGGGAACCGGGATCCAGAGGAGGCAGAGGGCAGGGTCTAGGAGCAAGCACCGGTCACATAGGGCAGTGAACTGGAGGTGAGCGGGAATTGATATTTGGATTATACCTCTGTATGKTTTTTTTTCACACTTAAAGAGTGTGGACCATTTACTTCGGATTTGACTTTAATGTTCGTTCTTTGGTGCATCTCTGATAGAAACATCTTTAAGTACTGTAATTAAATGCCTGTGTTTTGCCATAACTAAGTGGTTTTAAGTTTAGTCTTCATTGATTAATTTTGCTCTTATGATTTTTCAAAATAGTTCAAAAATTAGAATATATTCCTGGGTAACAGTACTTTGCCACGTGGCACCTCAATTACTTGATATTTTGGTCATCTTTTTTTTCTTCTTGTGTCTTCCACAATATAGCTTGATAAAAATACCACACAAATCTTATCTGAGAAGCAGCCAGCAAGGAGATGTTTTAAGGCTTTTTTTTTTTTTTTTTTTTTTTTTTGGAAGGCAAGGGATGTTTTTGGAACTCCTCAGAATAACAGATTGGAACAGTTTCTGCAGTTGACCATATATGGAAATATGTGTCTTGCAGCTGAAGATCTGTCGTCTGCTCTGTTTCTTGCATTCTTCATCATAAATTTATTCCTGAACATTGTAGACCATGACTTTTGGTGCACCATTTTCTAAAAATCTGTGCTGTTTACGCCTCTGTAAGAATGGTTTCCTCATGTGAGGCTCATGATAAACTTTTATTGCTGTGGTCAGGAATTTATTGTTTTGCCATTCGTTTCCTTGGGGACAGCTGCTGTTTCATTCCCCCGTTCTGCTGTGAAAACAGAATCTTCCTCTGAGCTGAATTAAATGCCAAGTATAGTGCCATATATATACTTGACTAATGGCCTTTATTTTCCCAGGGCAAGAACTTGAAGCTCTTGTTCTCTTACCATGAGAAACCTGAGAAATGTAGAGGGAAGAGCAGGACCAGGGTGTGGGGAGAGGGAAGTGCTGGAGCGGGAAGAGCTCCTGCACCTTGGGGCGGTTACTGCGTGACTAGGGGAGCAAGGRACACGGATCAACAGAGATGGCTGTGTCCAGTTGAACTCTTCGCATAGGCAGATGCCTTCTTTTAAAAATATATGTAATTTATTTCCTTTAGGGATGCATCAGGACAAGGGAGGTTCTGCACCATATTTCGGTCTTACTCAAGAGGTGCACAGGTGAGCAAAGTAGCACTTCTCAGTGATGAGTAATTGGGGAGGAATGGTTGGATGAGTGAAAAACCCAAATTCCCATGTTGGTTTCTGCAGCTTGCTCTCCTTTAATGTGCGTGCAGATCCACTAAGTTCTGAAGATAATATACGCAGGATGGTGAATAACAAGGGAAGGTTCCTTCTCTGKGAGGAGGTGGAAGTTGAACCACAGTGCAATGCAGCGCCGTGTTCTTATGCCGTTTTGCTGGTTACTCAGTAACTTAGGTTTATTGCCTTACTTTGGTTGTGGAAATGTGCTAATGTGGCTTTTTAAATCTTGTCTGCCAAGTAAGATAAATTGAGAACCTAATGCTGGCAAGACAAATAGGAAAAATATAAATCTGGCCTAGATGTAACAAAGTGTAATGACTTGTAATGAGGTGACTTTAAAAAAAAAAAAAAAAAGGAGAAAAAAGTCACAAAATAACGCGTGCCCTGAGTTACAGCAGTGCTTAGGTTTTGATGAGTTGCCTCTTTTATGTCCTGGGACTGCACAGAGCTGCTGAGTGCAACCCAGAATTTGTGTTTGCTATGACTTGTGATGGGTGTGTGTCAGCAACCACACCTGCCAACTGTAAAAACAAATACTTATCTTTGTGGCGGCTCCCAACATGAAACTGGAGTTTCTGTCSCTTGCCCGACTGGGAGACTGGGCTTAGTTTGACAGGATGTTGTCTTTCTGCTCCATTGGGAAACTGCTCAGTATTTTACAGGATGATTTTGGAACTGGAGAATTTAAAGTTATTGTTTTGTGTTTAAACCCTTTTTTATCTCCTGTTAATACAGGGTGTAATACTAGTGTATGATATTACAAATCGTTGGTCATTCGATGGCATCGATCGATGGATAAAAGAAATAGATGAGGTAAGGTACAATCYGTGAGCATCTCTAGCCTGTACCAGATGACTGAGACTGACTGCTAATAGTATTTTCTACTGTTTTTCCTGGCATTTTCAGGCAGTGCTTACTACAGAGTTATCCGAGATGCCAAGCTTACAATTTTGTTTCTGTGTTTATGCTTKTAGAAAGTTGGAAGAGTACCAGCTGAAGTGTCTGGTTTCTAAAGGTGCTAACAGAAAGCATATGGAGGGCAAAAAATTCAAGTTGCAGTCCCACTCTTGGTATAGATCTGCTGCATCAGCTGTGCGAGACACTTCACTGTGAGGAAGGAATGTTTTTAGATCAGAGAATCATCGGATAATTTAAGATGGAAGGGACCTCTAGACATCATCTGGTCCAGCTTCCCACTCAATCTTGTATCTTGAAAAAGCTTTGCTTGTTTTAATTGAGGGAAGGGGGAGACAGATTTTTAATTTTTTTTCTTGCTGTTTTTGCTTCTTTTTCTTTCTCTCTCTCTCCCCCTCTCTCTCTTTCTCAGCATGCTCCAGGCGTACCAAAAATCCTGGTGGGAAATCGCCTTCACTTGGCCTTCAAGCGCCAAGTGTCTACTGAACAAGCACAAGCCTATGCCGAGCGGCTGGGCATRACTTTCTTTGAAGTCAGCCCCCTTTGTAATTTCAATATTACGGAGTCCTTTACTGAGCTTGCAAGAATAGTATTGATGAGACATGGAATGGACAGGCTCTGGAAGCCGAACAAGGGTAAGGAAAGAACAGTGCACATTTACCCCTGCTGCTGTCTGCATGGGAGGTATTAAAATGCACATTTTCAAATGCTTAATTTTAAAGTAAAAGACACAGATGTCCAAAAGCCGAATCAGCTTAGTCTTTGATTAAATGGTGTGCTGCTGGTTTTGCAAGGTGAAAAGAACGCGAAAAGACTGGGTTTTGCTTTAGTGTTTAGGAAACAGTAGAGAATATAAAACTGTGTAGAGAAGATGCCTGAGAACAGCTTTCTAGGACTGCAGGACAAGATGGATAGAAATATAGGGTCAGTGAAACCAAAAGGCAGTTCAAACCAAAATAAACATTTTCCACATAGGAGAAAATACCTTGGGGAGCTCATTGCCAGGTATGACTGAGGCCGAGCTGAGGCCACTGCGAAAGGGTTAGATGTATGCCTGTGTGGGCCTTGAAATATAAATAAAAATTTTTAGAGATGCTTCACTTACTGTGCTCAGGATAGTCTAAAGATATAATACAACATTGGAAATGTTTAAATTTAGTTCTAGCCATGGCTTATGTTTCATAAATAAAAGTTCTGGAAATTATTTTATGTTACTTGACTGTGACTCCTGTACAACTTGCTGTCTAAACAGAAAATAGACAAAAGGAGGAACAGTTTTTATCCCTGGATGCAGGTAATAAAAACATAACAAAAACAACTTTCCTAAAGCTTGATTCTGATATGTAAAAGAATTCTGACACAAATAGGAAAGTGGGCAGGTTTTTTTTTTTTTTTTTAATAATACGTAATGTGGGAAAGGCTGCAGGAGGAGAAATGAGGATTCTCCCTAGGAAAACCAAGTGAAGGCAGAGCACTGGCTCTGCTGCCACCAGGTGGGTGACAAAAGCACGCTGTTACAATGCAAGTTTTATGTCTGTTTTTCAGTACTGAGCCTGCAAGACCTCTGTTGCCGTGCCATAGTTTCCTGCACCCCTGTGCATCTTGTCGACAAGCTCCCTCTCCCCGTTGCCTTACGGAGCCATCTCAAATCCTTCTCCATGGCCAACGGCCTTAATGCCAGGATGATGCACGGACGCTCGTACTCCCTCACATCCAACAACATCAGTAAAAGGARCAGCTTAAAGAAAGCGAAGATTATCCGTCCACCACAGAGCCCACCAAAAAACTGTACAAGAAACAGCTGCAAAATTTCCTGAACACTCTGCAGGAAAAGAGACCTGGATGAGATCCCCCCACACGCCATGTGAAGTGCAAGGACTCTGTGTTCATAGCTGAGCGTGTTCTATGTGTGTATCACATTGCATAGACAAAAATAAGGAAACTCTAATTTCAGAACTTGCTCACTAGAGCAATGCTGCTTTGGGATGAAGGGTGTGTTAAGTGCAACTGAAAGGATGCGATGTTTTCCTGTTGGATTTTCATATTGTATTTTAGTTTTGATGTGCACAATGCCATTGTTTTTACTAGTAGATGTGTTTTAAAATGAGAAATAATATGCTTATTTTGAGTTCTTTAACTACCTGAAATCTGGAAAGTGACTTACTATGTATATAAAAACCTATGTATTTGCAAACTGTGTTCAAAAAAAAGAGTGTCTGGTTTGCATATTCAGGCAGAGGTTTTTAAATGCAGTGTATTATATACATTGTAAATTCTRCAAATAGTGTGAAAATTCTAGTAATGTTGCATTTGTGCATTTGGACTTTGTAAAGCTTCCTTGACAACCTCAAAGCACTAATTTAACCTAAGCTAAAAATGTGTATATAACTATTATGCACATACACAACTAGGTTTTGTCTGATTAGTGTATGAAATAGATTTGATAAAGCTTTCAATATGTTATTTAATACTCTGGGGGATTAATTTGTGGTTTATATACTTATTTTTCTGTAAAAATAAATCTACGTTTTTATACTACTCTACGAGAAAGTTCTAGGAAGAATATGCCAAAGACACTGTGGTAAAAGGAATGTGACTTTAAAGAGCTGCTTTATAAGAAAGAGCACTATTTAAAAATAAGTAAATAAAGGTTTCTGGAAAGCCATCCTRTTGTTCCTTCTTCGATGGGGAGGGTTGCCGTTGTGTTCCTGGAGCGGCCTTTTGAGGAGCGCCGTGCTGGGGTCGCCGCCAGGGAAGGGAAGGTGTGGACGCTTCCGCCTCCCGGTGTTGCTCCCTCCCAGCCGCCGCTTCCAGGCCGGTAACCGCCGCGCTCGGGTGCGAGCCGCTGCCCGGCGCCGGGAGCGGGAGCCGGGCGAGCGGCCCCCGCAACGGCTCCGTGCCGGGGCGCGGCACTGCGCACGCGCGGCGGGCGCGCCGCCGCTCCATCGCTCGGCGCTCCTCGGCCTGGCGGGTGGGTGGTGTCTGTGCTCGGCGGCGCGGCCTGGCTGGGTCGGAAGCGGCGCGGGCCCGTCCGCCGCGGCTCGGCTCGGCTCGGTTCGGTTCCGCTCGGTTCCGCTCGGCTCGGCGCCGTTCGGCTGAGGCGGGCGGGCGGGCGCCGCCATGGTTTAAAGGGCGGCGGGTGGAGGCGGAGCGGCGCTGGAGTCATGAACCTGCTCCCGGCCAACCCGCACGGCAACGGGCTGCTCTACGCCGGCTTCAACCAGGACCACGGTGAGGGGGCGGGGGCGCCGCGCCAACGGCCGCAACGGCCGCAACGGCCGCGCCCGGGCCGGGGGGC